AACTAAGTTAAAAGTGTCAGTAGATTTACTTAGCTTAAATCTAGAGTCTTCACTTACCTAGTCAGAATCTGAACACCCAAAAGTTAAAGTTCTCCCGTAGATTTTGAATCGGTTAAAGGTGAAAGTAGAAAGTAAAGAAGAGAGTTACGATTTGGAATAAAATTTCCTTCGGTATTTACCCAAATAAAAATGAGACAAAGGAATATACGTTGAGGTAGATAAACACCTTGCACTCACAGGTGGCATCTTCTCTTTTCATCATGGCTAGGTGTAAGAAATCAAGAAAGGAGTGGTGGCCAAGGAAAATAATTGTTTAGGCTAGGTGTCTAACTTGGGTAGAAGCATGGCTTAGGAGGACAAATGGCATTCGGTCAAGCTTCTCCTTCAATAGCCACGTGAGAGAAGAAGAGCCTAGAAGAGATATCTTGTGATAATATCTCCCCCCCTTTTTCCCTTAACGCCAAATTAGAATAAAATGGCTAACACTACTTAACCAAAATTAACCAGTAATAATAATACCCACTAATTACCAAGATAATGATAAGTTAATTAATACTACACTATTATTAATGTACACATCAACGTTTAGAATTTTGAATACGTCGAGCTCGGAACGATTACGTTCCCGAATTCACGCCTCGCAAATTACGATCTAACAACGATTTCTACGCGTCCGCATAATTACTAACTTAAATAATACTTAGCTTTATTATCTAAGCATCATTTTCGAACATGGAAAATCTCCAACGCCAATTACTTATTATTACGAAATTTCCGGATGTCACATGTTTAGACTTGATTTAAGGGGAAAGGAGAGCATCTATTCACATTGTCTTTTAATCCGTGGTCCTCACTTTGGTAGATAATACGTGCATTTAAGATAAAAAAAAATAAAGTTAGGAAACATCGGGACTGAATATATATAAATCGAATTGGGAAATGATAAAGGAATAGACATGTGGGTCATGAGTTTCTTATGTTTAGCTCAAAGAAAAAAATGGAGAAAAAGTATCAAAAAAGTCATAAATTTATTGTGTTCGTACCAATCCAATCTTAATATTTTCAATTTGATCAATTTAATTTTAAATATTTTACGCCGGTACCAATTCAGACTTTCCGTCCAATTTAGGCTGTGAGGATGATTTTTCCAAGTTTGGAAGAGCGTGTACATGGAGGATCTGGTGAGGCATCAAGGAAGCACCCACTCACCCACCCTCATTTTTTGCCCCTTTGACGGGGCGACCAAGATGGCTCGTGAATGAAAATGGACGGTTCCATCCTTCTTTTCACCGGCAACCGAGGGCAATGGTGGTGTACGTTTTTTGTTGGTCTCTCTGCCCTTGTAGGCCCCTGGCGAGAGCGTCCCACCGCTCACCCTCGCCTGCGACCTCCGCCGTCTAGCAACTAGCGGAGGGTAATAATGAAAAAGAAAAAAGAGAAAGGAAAGAAAAAAAAAGAAAAAATTAATAAAAAAATTCAAAGGAAAATGTATTTAGAAATTAAAAAACATCCGCATCAGCGCCGATAATGCCGAGTAGGATGGCCGGCGTCCACGTCAGCAATTTCCGATCTCAATTGACCGGATGGATTGAATTGGTACCAATGTAAAAAGGTTTAGGACTAAATTGATCCAATTAAAAGGTTTATGACTAAATTAGCATCAATGCAATAGGTTTAAGACTTTTTTATATGATCAATTAATCTTGAAATCCATGACTTAAATTGGTATAATTAAAAAGTTTCAAGATTCATGATGGATCGTTAGACTCTTCGTTTCGTATTTGTACGATGAGAATCGTATTTTACCTATCTACTATGATAATTTTCCCACATTTTAAGCATTCGGCAGGTTGATGAAGATCTTGTACACGGTCAACACATATTCTCATTAGTGTCCAAATCAACTCTCAATAGCGTCAACGCACACAATAATATATTTCACAGCTGAAATGTGAAAAGACATACATGGAAGTACTGTGCGGATGTGAAAGACTAACATCCTTTCTGAACACAATGAAACAATCCATCAACAGGGAAGTTTCCTATCACAAGGAGGACAAAGGAACAGGGAAAGTCCAAATAAAATAAAGCTAATGAGCATAGGTTTCTCCTCCAAAAGTGTGAAAGCAAAAGTGAATTGCCAAATCATGGAGCTGGGGTTCCTCTTTTCTATGGAAAACAACCAAAAAAAAGAGAAGAAAGAGGGGCTTGCCAAATCACCAGAACTTTATGGGAGCTGTCCTCCGTGCATGCATGTTTTGGTCGGAACTGGGCAACGAGTGGATGGCAGTTGTCATTTGACTGATGCTGGCAGATTTTCCACTCGTCGCCCCAGTTGACGGGGGCAGCCCTACTTGAGTTTAATAATCACCGTGCCAACGGCAATCAAATGGCAGACGAGCCTTTTTTTTGGCCTTTATGGGGGCGGCTAGACAAGTCAAATGATTAGGTCCTACTTTTCAACGAGTTGATTTTTCTTCACTTTAACGGGGCTTCGAGCGGGACTAATTAGGGGCTTGAGCAATCTTAAAAGCTCAAAAGGGGAGGTGATTGGACTTTAGCATATCCTTAAAAAAGCTCAATATAAAACAGGAGAAAGAACTCTCGGTGAGAACTCTCCATAAGTTCTCTCCATACTCCTTCTCTTCTAAAAAAAAAAAAAACAACAAGAGGGAATTTACGAGCCTATAAGTGGCGTAGGTAGACGTCACGTCCAGCCAATTTATGGGTGGGGAGGGAGGGAAATAGCCAAAAAAAAAAAGAAAAGAGGAGAAAAATCGATAGAATCATTGATAGAAAAATGCCTGAGAAAATAACTAATCAATTGGTCACAAAGGGATCGGGAATAAGAGATAAAAAAAAAATGCCACAGATTCTGATATCTCGAATCTTGTTCAAGGGGGTTGTGCCTTTTAGCCAATTGTAGATTTTAAATTTGATTTTAGTTAATACTAAATACTTGAAATTTTGAAAAGAAGCAAATGAAAGTTAACATTGAAAATAAAAGCAAATGAAAGTTGTCACATCAATACAAGTTTGGAATTTTTTACGTCACAATAAAAAAATTTAAAATAAATATGTTACAATATGTATGGTTTGGGGTTTTTGATGTAACAAAAATAAGTTCAGGATAAATATGTCACAGTTGGCATAATTTGGAGTTTTTTTATAATATTTTTCCTAACTTAAATGGGTTAAACACAGGTCTGGTGTAAACTCATATAAACCAATATAAACTTAGACTTTAATGTTTAAAACCCATTTTGACCTTTTTTTTAAAATTTTAAGTGACTCATATTTAATCTAGGCCCAATATAACTGAGTTAATAAATGGAGCTCTAACCCATATTGCCACCTCTAACTATCGGGGATGCTTTTGTCGCATCCCTCGAAGCACTTGCATGATGCTAACAGGGTCACCAAGTTTTGTGTGTTTGTCGCATGAATATCGTACTCTTCTCTTTCAAAGTCAAGGACATTTTCCAAACGTTTTGAGGTTGAAAATCGGGATGCCTGGTCAGGTTCTCTACACAAGTATTTGAATTAAGAAAAGTCAAATGGATGAACCTCAAATATTTGAATGGAACACATGTATTAGAAGTCATAAAATTTATCACGAAAGCACAATTGAGTCCTTTAACGTACAAAAAGTGCGATCAAGTCCTAAAACTTGTCAAATTGGTGTAATCGAGTATTTCCGCTAACTTTGTCCAACTTGATTAATGGAAAATGTTGATGTGACTTTATTCTCTCCTACGTGGCGATGACGTGATTAAAGCATGAACCATAAAGCTAAAACGATGTTATTTTGGTCCAAATCTGATTTTTAATACAAATTTTATTTAAATTAAATTTAAAAAAATAAGCTAAATTATTTATAAAAAAAATAGAAAAGAAAGAGGAGAAACCTAGCGGTAGCCCTCGCCAGCCCTTGCCAACGCCGATGGTCAACAGGGGCCGACGGCCCTCTCTTACCGGGTCCTCATCCAGATCTAGGCGAGGGTCGCGGCCCTCCAAACCTAGTTGACAAGCGCCACTGGCGGCGGACAATCATGATTCCGCTTTCATGTCTTGGATTGAGCTTTCACTTCGGCCTTTCCCCACGGACAAGAAGTTGCTTGTCCGATTCTACGCCATTCAATAGCACTGCAGTCAAGGGATCCGAGCACACCTAGCTAGGAACCGGCCTTCGCTCCGGCACCTGCGCATACGTGCTCCTTTACTGTCTACACCTACGCTCACGAACGGCAAAGCCACTCACGCATCCATTTTCCTGCTTCTCCTCTGGACCTTCCTTACTGCTGGCTTTGAGCTTTCTTGCTTGCTATTGCTCTACGCCAGCTAGCGGAATGCTTCGCTGAATGTGCCATAAAAGGCTGCCCGGCTGTCGGCCAGGTTAGGGCGTTTGAGAACAATCCGTCCGACAATGCCAGGGCCCATGCTCAATCTTAGGTTATGGATTTGGGCGGATTGGGAACCCAATTTAACCCGACCCTACGGACGGACCCGACCCGACCCGATCACGAAAGGCAGTCCATCTTCTGATACAAAAACCGAGACGAGCAAGAGCGATGGAAAAAGCTGCACCTTTTCAGCTGCTTCCCGCTTCAATTCAAGCTCACGATCACGCCTTTGGTTCGACCTTCAATCCGCACTCGTCTCAGCTTTTGAAGTCGATTCGATCTCAGCTCGAAAAGGAAGGGCGGCCTGCGGCGGAATCATGGATTCTTTCGACGCCGAAAGCTCAACGAAGGCCTCTGCTAAACGCGGTAGAATGCTCGCGTTTTTTTTTTTGGAAAAATTCCCGAGTTCCGGGGTCTTCATTTACTGTTGATATCGTTCGAAACCTCGCTGGCACGAGCTCATGTTATCTGAATCGCATTGTTGTGGTTTGATGTGAATGTTTCGGCGGTTTTTTTGGTGGGGGACTGTACCAAGTTCATTTCTGGGTTATGCTTGTGCGGCAATTCGATTGATTTTCGATGAATGCATTGTAACAGGTGGGGCGGACCGCGATTTGGGCGGATACCAGAAAGGGAAGTCTCTGCAAGTTGGTGTCAGTGAAGGCCGGCCTTTTGATTTTTGGCGAATAGTGTGCGGTATGTCCTCTTGCTGGATCTTGAGTTGCGGGGTTTAGTTCTGGGCGGGGCATTGATATCAAAGCTGGTGGTGAATGTATAATTTGTCAATATTTTTTTTTGTGCATCTTGAATTCTTCACTAAATTATGAAAATGTTCGTCTTGTATTGGGTACGCGAAAAATTTGTTTGACGAAATGTTTATGTCCCTCAATACTTTCGTCGACTGTAGCATCGTAAATGGTAAAGGAGGACTCTTTTACAGTCATTTTGATCAATTCTCTCCCTTCTTATATGCACTTCCTCTTCTTTTGGGACATCACACTCTCTGTGTGTTCTTCTTGACCTTAGAAAGACATTTTCCTCTTGTGTAAATTTGGTAGTAAAACTTTGACGTTATTCCTTTTAAAGAACGGCAAACTAATCGCTAGTATATCTCGCAGAATGAAAGAAGAGTTTTCTTTGATTGTCTGACTGTGTTTCATTGACTCTGCAGAGGGCGTTGTTGCTGGAGGTACGGCTGGTGTTGTTGTTGAAGCAGCACTTTACCCAATTGACACCATTAAAACTAGACTTCAGGCAAGATTAAATCCTTATGTGTTCAACCAATCCTTTTGTTTGCCTGTCCTCCAATTGTCACACTGCACAACCTTCGAGTGTAAACTGGTAGTTGGGAAGCTGTTGCAACAAGTAGTGTTGTTTAGCTTTTATTGCTGCAACTCTAGTGGCTGGAAGTTAATTTTCTTTTGATGAATATTGGGCTGTTTGCTGCCACCGACCAAGCAGCATATGTTTTTCTGGAATACTGCCTGTTATTGCTGTTGTTCTCCCTATTTTACTGTTGTACGACCAGACATTAAAGCCACGTTAGCTTCAGACTTACACAATTCATTTTGTTTGAATACAGCCGTGTGCTTCAAGTTTCTTAACTCTCGAAGCCTTTCTATGTCAATAATCTCAACAGAAACAGCTAGGATTTAAGCTGAAACCTTCTGAACGGATGGGAAGTTATAATTTAATCCCCTGTAAATTTGGCAAATCATATAGATGACCTCTTTGATTGAAAAATATATGCTGCGTCCTTTTTAAAGCTATCAATGCATGAAGTTTGTGATTAATCTTGTTTTGGAACGAATATGAGCTAATTTTGTGCACTATAACCCCAATGTGTGATATAAGTAGAGAATCTGGATATGCAAAATGTGACACTCAATTATTTAAAAGTTCGACATTTGGCAAATTGTAGGTGTTTTAGCAGGTAGAGTTGTTTGGAAAATGTAGGTTGGATTGCAACTTTTTACTTTATTTTATATCGTTGCATATCTTCTTTCGCTTTCCTTCTTGAATTGGTCATTACTTTACTGTAATAGCTTAACTTTAGTTCTTTGCATTATATTGATTGGCGGCAAATGACTCTGATGTTAAGGCAGCTCATGGTGGTGGAAAAATCGTATTGAAGGGCCTGTACTCTGGCCTGGCTGGTAATCTTGCTGGCGTTTTACCGTAAGTATTCATAGTTGTAATAGTGGTTTAGTTTATTCTTAGAGGATCAAAAAGCAAATAGCTAGATTAGCTTTCCACAAAGCTTGTTATGTGACTATTATCTCCTCTATCTTCTCATCATTTGGCTATGAAGTAATCGATGATGAAAGCAACATTTTCCTTATCAAATTGAATTGACAGGCAATTCTGACCTTCTGAAGCTGCATATCAAAGGAAAGAACAATCCTGTAACAGAAGTTATGGGGGAAAAGGGCCAGTTTATCCACACTGAGAATCAGTAAAATTACATCACTGAGATGAAGCTGTATAGTCAAATGTTGGATAAGTTATGTTAAAAAATGTAATATTGCCCTTTAAAACTGCAGAGAAATATTAGTTGCTAACCTGTAGGTACCCCTTTAGGAGCTAGGGTAGAGAGCATGGCTATTTTGCACTCGAAATCCCCTAGATTAACGTTTCTGAGTTGCACATATTACTGAATCATAATGACGTTTGTTAGGGGAAGCAGATGGAGGGCAGATTTTAGTTTTTCAGTAACTTTCGTTCTTTACCCCTCAATTTTCCTCTCCTCCCTAGTTTCCAAACAACACATTAGGATTGACAAGGGATTGATCACTCGTAAAGGATTATGAAGAAAGTAGCCCACCCCACTAGTGGGTTGAGCCTTATAATGTTGTTGCTGTAGTAAGTTATTACTCTTGCATATCCTTCCCATGAAGCTTGGATTTTATAATAGGTGCTCCAGAACTTTGAATTGTGTTTGCACTTTCACATAAATGTATATTGTACCTTCCTAGAGTATAAACATGAAAAATGGGTAGGGTCTCTCTCTCTCTCTCTTTCCCTCTTGTGTGCGCGCCCGAATTGAGAGAAGAATGACCTGAGAAATCCTGGAGCAATTAATCTAGGTTGAGATCCTTTTGGTTATGCACAGGCAGCTGAGTATGAGATGAAAATTTTCATTCACCAGGCTACACGGCTTTTAATCTTTTACCATCAGATTGTCAGCTGTAGGCATGACCTTTCTTTGGCTTCTGGATATTTAAAACCTTCAGTTACTCTTGAACGAAGACCCTTGCAATCGGTGTCCTTTAGTTTTCAGATGAACGATAGATGATATTCAGAGTACTCTTTATTGTTGGTAAAGATGTTTCAAAAGAAATCTTGGCATGCCCTCGCAGTTTATTACTTGTACAATTTTATGTGGCATTTTTCTTCTGTGTTTTGTTCATAAAAGGATGCATATCGTTTCATGTACTTTATCTTATATTAGTGGTTGTCCTATATGATGAGACAATTGGCTGAGAAGTAGGTCAAAGATGAGCTTGTTATGTAGCTTTGCCCGTTTGCCGACTGCATTGCAGGAACAGCTTATATGACTCTCATAAGTGTCCTATTCATGTGATGAGTGACAGAATGCTTCCTTCTTGACTTCTCTACTTGTTCGATAAATTAATGGGCATTTTGAGTGTGCCATATTTAAGGTGCAAAACAGGCATGTACATAAAAAAAGCTGAAGTAGTCCTGGTTTATGTACACCCACTTTACGTCATAAGAAATTTCCATCTTCTTTGACAGTATATTGGCAGCTTAAGGTTTTCTAGCTGGCTGTGTTTGAAATCATGTATTGTGGAATAACTTGTGATCTGTGCAGGGCATCTGCAATATTTGTTGGTGTCTATGAACCAACAAAACAGAAATTGCTAAGGGCCTTTCCAGAAAACTTAAGCGCGCTTGCTCACTTGGTAATTGTCAAAACCCTTAATTAATCATTTCTCTTCCAATTTGAGCTTTTCTCAAACATTTTCCTCATTGGTAGGTTCCTCAGTTTTGGTACATTATAGTTCATTGCTTGTGCATGGGAGTTTCTTAGATTTGCTTTCATCGCACTGGAACCCCACCCCACCCACAGTAAAACCCAATTACAGAAGGAAAAAGAAAAAAGAAAAAGAAAGAGAGAAAGAAATCACCGAATAGAACACACACATTTTCTTGATGCTAGTCTTTTACGTGTCTTGGTATATTCTAGTTCTTTTTCATTGCCAGGCAACACCAATTTGTACCTCTTTTTTGGCATGTTATACATGCCATGCCTGTCATCTACAAACTTGTGGGTTTCCTCATTAAGACCAGTTGGTTTGGCTACAAAGTTTGCTATAGATGGGGTATATTTTGGGGGTTGATGCATTCATCTTATAAACTTTATCTCGAGTATCTAGATGAAGCTGTATATTGTATTGAGATGTCGTTGAATATTCTTCAGACTGCAGGTGCTCTTGGAGGGCTTGCTTCTTCTCTTGTTCGTGTACCCACTGAGGTATAAAAAGTTTTTCGTCATTTTTCATGTCAGCTCTTTTTGAGTCAGGGTGTATATAACTGTGTATTTCCAGGTGGTTAAACAAAGAATGCAAACTCGGGAATTTGCCTCTGCCCCTAGCGCTGTCCGTCTCATTATTGCCAGAGAGGGTTTTAAGGGCCTTTATGCAGTATGTCGAGCTCAATGTATTTTGGAAGATCATTCAAATTTTTCAATACTCATCACTTATTCATCATTATCGATAATGTAGTCTTCTGTCTTCATTTTTACTCGCTAAGTATGATATGAAATGAAACTAACAATGCATAGTAATTTGCGTACGCAGAAATATAGGTGAGCTAAAAAGCTTGTAATTTCTGAGATCTGCAAATGATCTATTTTTGTTTGTCTTGAAAAATTCAAGATGATGTATGTTAATTTTTCCTTCCCAACCTAGGGATATGGGTCCTTTTTATTGCGAGATTTGCCATTTGATGCCGTTCAGTTTTGCATTTATGAGCAGCTTCGGATAGGCTACAGGCTTGTGGTAAGTTTTACTCCTCTCTTTTTCTGTCGTACGTAAAATATGATTAATTTCAGCAATTTACTTTTGGAGAGTTCTAGTTTAATAAAGGTCTACGACCAACCACAAGTTAATAGATTTATTGTGGTCTTTGGTTTACAAGCAAGTGAATGAGGAAAACGTTTTCTTGTTATTAGCTTGAAATAGATGAAACATCTACATGTCTCATTAAAGAGCAGTTTGTTATTGTCATCATGCTATGGTGTTGGATGTTGTAATATTCTGATTCAAAGAAAATCAAGTTCTATTTGCTAAATTGATAAAACATGTCAGAAACTAAAGAAATCTCTCGTACATGGGCAACATATTGTTCTCATGATGTCGTAATTCTTTTGGTTCATTGCAGGCCAGGAGAGAATTGAAAGATCATGAAAATGCTATGATTGGTGCTTTTGCTGGTAAAGATTCTACCTGTGCACGTTTTGTTTTTGGGCCAAATACCTGATATACTTGACTATTAATTGAGGTTATATCTTTTATAATCCCATTGACTGAGTTGCAATCTAGCTGATTATTTTATTTGAAAACTTTGATTTTAGAGTTAAGCTACATATGCAGAATGCAACTGCAAACTATTATCATGGTGAAAAATGAAATACCTGTAACCTTTGCCTTCATGTTGAAGATTGCTGATGTACAACCCTTAATCAAGGTTATCTACAGATAATAAACTGCCTACATTGTTACATAATGAAAAAGTAGAAGTTTTGGTTGTTAATAAGTGGTTGATGTTGCTTACCATCCAATCAAATCGATTTAAAAGAGAGATTTACCTAAAAGGTTGAAATGATGAAACCTCAATCTGTCAATGTAAGTAGTAATGTCTTTTGAACTGGAGGGATGAAAAAAAGCAGTTACTTCTCCATTAGAATTACTGGGATTCCAGATTTTAGAATTACTGTGACACAAGGGAACACACCAAAAGTAGAATTACCATCTATTGGGTTTATACTTGACTATAGTTTTTAAAGGGGTACTGCATCTGTTTCTACTCTAGATACTGCTACTCAGTTGATTTATATCGACAGTCTTAAATTTAGTTATTCTTTCGGAGCTGCTTTTTATCTGTGATGCAAGACTAGCTGTTACTGCAATCACTGTAATCACTGTCCTAAATATCATAACTCCTGGCAAAGTATATGTCATTTACTTTCAGTAGAAAAGTACTGCTACTTTGTTAGTAACACCTCCTCTTGGTTTCAGTTCCAATGAGGCAACCTTGTTGGTAAAATTCAGGCTCGTCCTATTAGCTGAGAAGCTAACTGCAATATGAAGATATCTTAAGTCGTAAACAGCATCAATTGGGGCCTGCCCTAGAGCATTATCATGGAGTATCACTCTCTCCTTGGCTCGTTCCTTCTGAATTCACGAGCCTAAATTTTAGATTTATTATTAGAAGAATCCTGGTTAAGTGGCTGGATAATTAGGCAGATGACATGCTCTCAATGGAGACTTCTTAATTGAGATTGTCATGCTCGTAGGTGCAATTACTGGAGCCATTACAACTCCTCTTGATGTGATAAAGACTAGATTAATGGTTCAGGTAGTGGGCACGTTTTATTCTTTTCTTCTTTGTTTTGGTTCCTTAATTGTGGCATACCTGCATTTTGGTCCTCAGTGATTCTTGATGTTTCTTTTATTTGTTCTTTGAGTATATAGGGAGCAACAAAACAGTACAGAGGTATTTCCCACTGTGTCAAGAACATTGTCCAAGAAGAAGGACCTGCTACTCTTATGAAGGTTTGACCACTTTACATGAGTGCATTCACATCAAAGAAGTTTAGTAATGTTTTTTACTGGCTTCTTCACGTCTTATACCACAAGGAGAAGCAAATTAGCACGAGTGTCGGTTGAATACTCTAATCGAAAGTCTAAATGTTAATATTATTCTTCTTTCCTGGTTGATTTATCTATTTTTTATTTGGTTGAGGGTTTCATTATGTCTCGCCACTCGTTTCGGGCCATGTGAGCTTCTGGGGTATTGCCTATTCTCCTGTTAATTTAAGGAATAATCTCAACCAGTACAGATTTACTTTATACTAGCCTTTTGTTATTGTCTCCTTTTTCAAGTAATCTTATCATGCTATCCCAGCACTTCCAAGCTCCACCATTATGTCTTCAATTCCAGAAGTTACTCTAACATCATGTCGAATCAAATTTGAGTCAGGGTGGAAATAGATGAACTACTATTTAGTCTTGTATACCAGTTGAGTTAATACTAGGTGTCAGGACAAAACTAAGTTCAAGTTTGGATTTATGGAGAGATGGATTTGTTCAAGTAATCGGAAGTTTACGGTACATGGAGAACTTTCTTCTATTGAAGACTAACTAACTGCTGTACATATGAGGAAGAGTTGTTGACTGGACATAGAATGACAAGTTTCATATCATGTGCTGCAGGGAATGGGACCAAGGGTACTCTGGATCGGTATTGGAGGTTCGATATTTTTCGGTATACTAGAAAGAACAAAAAAGATACTAGCTGATAGGCACTCTGAGTCTCAATAGTCATCTTTCTTTGTTTTTCATGATCCTTGCAAAGCGAGACTAATTTTGGAAGTTTAGGCCATCTATTTTTCAAACATGTATTTTATGTATGACCAGTCATATTGTCAATATGCCTGATCGTGTCGAGGGAAGGTGACGGCCATTTCCTTTTTGAGCTGGGCCATATCGATAAGCATTTGAGCTGGGCCATATCGATAAGCATTCGGTCGCTTTTTTAATTTTTTTCCCCGAGGATATTATTTTCTTCCATGTACTTTTGAAAGTAGTACATGCAAACGCACGTGCGTCCATCTATGGACATACATTCGTACTATCCATAAAGCTTGCCATTCATTTAATTTTTAATGTTTCCGTGCATTACACGGACTTTCTTGTTATCTGTATAATCATTTCTTCGTGTTCGATGATGACTCGTGTGTATTCGATGATGACTCATGTGTAAACCAGTCAAAATGGATTATAAATCCATTTCTTAACCCATATATAATGAATGAATTGTTTTATAGATTAGTTATATTAAATAAATAGGTAATGAATTTATTTAAATATAACATGAGTGTTAAATTGGTCATAAATAAGTCTTAAGTGGGTTATAAATGGGTTTACAATTTATGACTCTTCATTTTCTTTCAACCTCATTTGATCTCACATTTACTCATTCTCACCGCCATTTGGGTGTGAATTTTCTTAAATTAACTTAAATATGAAAGTGTTTTAACAATAATTTGCAATACCAAAAAATGGGTCATAAATGGTTTAATGGGCCATTTTAGGTCAGATCAATTATGACTCGACCCGATCCACCTGTTTGACAGGTTACTTGTGTGCCACCAAGAACAGTGGAGAGGCCTCGTTTTGAGTTTCTGAAGAACAATGACATGAAATAATTTTACACCAGGCTCATAGTGATGGTAAGAAGTAGTGACCAAATACCAAAATACTAATATACAGCATTGAACAACGTAGAAAATTGGTGAGTTAATCACATTTCACGTTTAGACGTGACTTAATGAAGAACTGACACTGACAACCCTACTTCTGAAAGTGTATAAATGTGAGGACGACTGCATCACCATTCACCTTGTGGAGCCAAAGTTGTCTGAGACAAGCAGTGCTCGTTGCAAAGACGGTTCACAGTGAGAAAAATCATCAACATTTGCAACAACATTCAGGACAATATCACCATTCATCACGGATTCTAAAGTTGGAGTTCAAAGGGATGATGAGAGAACACCAGCAAGCCGTCCGGGTCGCTCCATCTTAAGTACAGATATCTTTCCCTATCATGGATCTTCAAGACAAGACAACAGGTTGATAACTAAACCAAAGTTTTTGGATTATCGGTCTATATTCATTGCCTTTTGGTTTGATTTTTCTATTCCATACCCTGCCAATAGATCTAGTATTTATGCATTCCTTCCTTCAGACTAAAACTATTCGATAGCCAAAAGATAGAATCCATAGGATAAATTTATTACTTTGTAACACAATTTGCGACGTGGAACTACACAAAATCTGATTCCTGCCAGATAACACCTTCATAATTCTGAAATCACACAAGTGCTGAAACCAAGCCAGACCGTTGATCTTTAGTTGGGTCTTTCAGAATTAGAAAGTAGAGCAATCAAACCATAGAAAGTACCCATTCAATTACACCTACGACAGTCTCTTTTTCCCCCCAAATCCACATTGACAAGAACTAAACCATACCATAAAGGATTAGACTACCAAGTCTATAGCCCCTATACATCCAAGCGAAAGAAACAATAAATCATGCCACAGAAGCATCTATTGGAAGCACACCGGGCGAGTACATTTAGGCCTTAGGTTTTCGATCCAATCAAAATTACTGTATTTTTCGCTTTCAGGTGAATTTGACAGCACAGCTTTCAAAATGTCAATGTTCTAAGCTTGTTTGAAAGGAGTAGTGGTACACAAAGAATGGTCAAGGTGAAAATACAAAAAGAATAACAATACTCGAGGAGAGGACAAGGCAAGGCATCCGGGACTAGCCGTGAAAATGTCTTGCAGGTAATGCAGATCATTTAAACTTCACATGCCAGGGACTGGTCCCTATCCGATAAAACCATTGACAATCAGACCGCAATTACAAAATTCTCGCTAGATAGGTGCACGAGATGCATGCGCACCTCAACAAAATAGTTCCCAAGCCTAAGTATGAAACAGAGAGCCATCATGTCCTATGGTGTTGATCAGTTCTTTCAAACTGCCATGCCCAATTAGTTCCCTCAAATTGATGCGCTTCACCATATATGCTGAAACATCATTACAAAGAAAAACTTCAATTATCAGTTATTTATTCATTAATTTGATTGCAACAGAGGACAAGTGTTGAGATAAATCAATCTACACTCTGTAAAGTTCAGTATTTTCTTTTGCACTATCCAAGCTCAGGCCATAATCAACATAAGAACTTTCACACAAGTACCATAAGAATCTCCTAACAGCAAAAGCGGAGAAGTAAAATATCCCGATTAGAGGTAAATGAAAGTAGGTGATTAATGAAAGGAAATTCAGAAACTAGAAAACTTCCATGAGACAAGATCCAGAAAAAGGGGAGCTAACCCTCCATACACGATGGTACATTATTGCTGGGCTATGAGAGAGAGAGAGAGAGAGAGAGAGAGAGAGAGAGAGAGAGAGAGAGAGAAAGGATCGAACTATTCATTTACCTTTTGCAGAACGTAGTTACATAACGTGAAGTGTTGTAAAGAACAAACCACATCAAGACAATTACCAGAGTATCTGTGGACGTTTAGGAAACCCCGAGATGAACATGAAGTAAGTGTAAGATGTAGAGATGAAAATATAAATACGAGCAACAATAACAACCATACCATATTTCTCAAAAATGAATTATATACTAAACTTCAACAGAAAGGAAATTCACAATCCTGACCAAACCCACATGCTTGCCTTGACAATGACATTGAAAGAACACGACTTGTTTGAACAGCCTAGAATTCTCGATAAGGTACAGCATGCAAGTCATTGCAAGCAAGAAAATTCTTTTATTAAATCCGATGTGTACCGGAAAGGGAGAGTCCTAATTAAGCCTAATAATGTAGAACTCCAGGAGTTTGTTAATAAACTAACCGTACAAAACCACGAGAGCACATTGACTGCATTCACAGACAAAGAAAAAGACATGGAACAACACATTGGATCGAGGTAAAAGAAATAATGAATTAGGATACTGAACAAATAGCGTTCCCACCAATCCAACATGAAGAGCCCAAAGGTGACATTGTAAAGGTAGATCTTACGTTGAATCCAATTCATTGCTTCTACCTGCCACAGAAACCATATGCCAAAACACAGCTATCAGCAAGGTATTCAAACTATTCTAGCATTGGTTATCACACAAGTAAAAATTTTACTAAATTCCCCACAAAATAAGGAAAAACAAAATTATGAACAGGAGCAAAATGCTACCTCCCAAACAAAGAATCGTTTCGGATCCGTAGATAACTCTCTCGTCAAATGATAAAGAAGAGGTTTACGAAAAAGATCCAACCCGGCTCAGCCTAAAAACTTAACGATCAGGTCCAGATCATCGTGCTTTCAAAAAAATCCATCAGTTGCCCATAATTTCAAAACTTAGAAAAGACCAAGAAATCTAGAAATGTCGGCATCCCAAGTCAAACGAAGACCGCAGACAATCATAAGACAACCCACGAATCAGAACAAGGACGAGCGCGTCCGCAAGAACTGAAGTTGAATTTTCAGACACCAATCAGCCCCCGCCACGGCAAAACCCATCTAGTTTCCTAATCGATGCAAGAACTGAATCGGGGCTAAGGTCAACACGAGCTCGCGACCGGAGACACCCGCGATCTGGAAGGAGGAGAAGAAAAGATCAAGGGCGATAGAACCACCGCAAGAGATTCTTACCAGATACCAACACCTCACTTCGACTCCAACGCTTCGAACGAGACGAAAAACCGCAAAACGAGCGGCGCCGCTCGGCGGCTGCTCGTCGGCGGCGGGGGGCGCCGGCAGTCGTCGATCCGGTCCGACCCGAACGAAGAGAGAGAGAGAGAGAGAGAGGGAGGATGAGGCACGGAAGGTGAGTGTCGGAAAACAAAACGGCAGCTGCTCCAGGGTTTAATTTCTATATTGAATTTTCTTAAAAAGTATTTTTCTGAAATGATTTTTTTTTCTTCTTTTTTACTTGTTAAATACAAATGGGCTTTCTTCTGAATTTCCTTAGCTTTAAACAGAGAGGCCCATAAAAATTAACCGATTTGGGTTTGGTTCAATGTAAGCCCATGGCAATAGCAATGGTCAATTTAAGGACCCATTTATTTTTATTTTATTTTATTTTGGATAAGTGCATTGGAAGTCCTATAACTTATCACGAAAATGTGGTTGAATTATAAAGCTTTTAAGAAGTGCAATTGAGTCCTGAAACTTTCAATAATACAATCAAGTCCTGAAACTTGATCACAGGAAATGCAATTGAGTCATAAAACTTTCGAAAAGCGCAATCAAATCCCGAAACTTGTCAAGTCGATGCAATTGAGTCCTTCTATTAACTCCGTCTAACTGGACAAATAGAAAATTGTAACAAATTTCAAGATTTGATTGCACCGACTTGATAAGTTTCAGGACTTGATTGTACTTTTCGAAAGTCTTGGGACTTAATTGCACTTTGGTGATGAGTTTTCGGATTCAATTGCACTTTATAAAAAGTTTTAGGACTCAATTGCATTTTTCATGACAAATTTTAAAATTTCCAAACGCACTTATCCTTCTTTTTTGCGATTTTTGATGTTTTATTTTTCCATATATATTAGAAAACTATGTTTCTTTTCTTCATATGCTATATATATATATATATATATATATATATATATATATATATATATGATTAATTATTTCGATCATAATTCGGGTCGCTATCTTTTTATTTGAATTTTTACCTCAGTTCGAGTTTTTTCCATTTCAATTTTTCAATCTCGACTGGGTTTGTTCGCTCTGTATGTCATCGTGCACCAAAATATCACGATGTAAAGCGATAGAAAAACCATGCTTCGTACAGTTTATTATGGCCACGGAATCCGAATCTTGTTTATTATTAAAAAGAAATTCATTGGAATCTTATTCACTAAAGACGGAAAAAGAACAAAGGGGGGAAAAAGAGGAAATGTGCCGCCTTCATGTCGTTTTCTCAAGCTTTTTGACCGTTTCCATAAGCCAACGAATACGACACCGTTTATTGCCCTAGTGTCTTGATCGATCATTTTCTTCTTTTTTTCGTTTTTTTTGGATTGGAGGTCTATTTCGCCCACGTCGACGAGAAAATACCCTTCCACTAATTTTTAAAGTAGAAAGCGATTATACCGAGCCCAAAAAACTTATCGCGAAAAGCAATGAAATTAAATAAAATAAACTCCGGCAGGTCGAATTTAAATAATTGACTCAAAGAAGGAGCAGTTTAGGGAGCTATTTGAGGACTTTCTATTTTGGGTTAATACCACGAAAAATCTTAAATTTGTACACGTGTGGCAAATCTACGCTAAATTAATTTTTTGATCATTAAAAACCCCAAACTAGTATACCTGTGACAATTTTACCCTCCGTTAGTTTCCGTTAAATTTTACTATCAAATTTCTAAATTGGATATCACGTGATAATTCACGGGTGTACCAGTTTGGGGTTTTATCCCTCCGTTTGTCACAAGTGTACCAGTTTGTGATTTTTTCGCGACATTGATCAAATTTAACGGAGGGTAAATTTATCACAAATGTACCAGTTTGGGATTTTTGGTGGTTAAAAAAATAATTTTGGGTAAATTTGTCACATGTGTACCAGTTTGGGGCTTTTGGTGATTAAAAAACTAGTTTTGGGTAAATTTGTCACGGGTGTACCAATTTAGATCTTTATGTGGTATTAACCCTTCTATTTTTATCTTCTGATTTTGCTTTCTTTCTTGCTTGTTATTCCGCATGCAAGAAATTAGTTCGAGAAATCAGAATCAGTAGAGACTTTCTTCTGAGCGAAACATTATGTTGAAAATTCCCTGTCTTTCCTCTTTTCTACGCCAAAAGAAAGAAAAGTCGCAATCGACCAACCCCTTTATTCTCTCTTCTGAGCGAAACATCATGTTGAAAATTCTTTCTCTTTTTTTTTCTCTTGGCTCTTTTGTACCGCCAGAAGAAAGGAAAGTCGCAAATCTATCAGCCACTTTATTCTCCATTCATCACCATCGAAAGAGATGAAAGAGAATCAAAGGGGAGAAATCCATCTCCTCAGAGACTTATTCAGCACCATCCCGTGGGTCACCACCAACCAACCACGCGTTAGAAAGGTCGTTTTATACTGATTAGTGATTTCTGCAAAAGGGAGGCCATCCAAGATACGCAATCTCTGAGAAAATAGCACCCGTACAAGCACTTTGAAGCTTTTACCAAAAGAAATGATATTCTATACTTTTAAGGGGTTAATACAACCAAGAATTACAAATTGATATATTCGTAATAAATTTAATTTAAATTAATTTTTTGATCATTAAAACCTCACATTAATACATCTGTGACACATTTAACTTAAACTAATTTTTTAACCATAAAAAACTCTAAACTTGTACAATTATGACAAATTGACTCTCTGTTAAATTGAAATTAATATAACGAAAAATCACAAACCGGTACACTTGTGACAGACGGAGGATAAAACTCCAAAACTGGTACACCCGTCAACTACCACATATCATCCAACTTAGAAATTTGACGGTAAAATTTAACAGAAACTAATAGATGGTAAAATTGTCACAGATATACCAATTTGGGGTTTTTCATGGTCAAAAAATTAGTCGATGCAAAGAATGAATCCGTGGGTTTCTGTAAGTCGACTTCTATAGCATGCATGTACGCCGCGAGATCTCAAAATTATACTCGAAAATGCCCTTATTTTGATGTGCCGATACCAGCACAAGTGTATTTTTTTCTTGCCCGCCGCCAAGCAATCCCGGTGATCCCGAGCTCCGGCTGAGGATCGAGATTAAGCTTTTCAAGGACTTGCTTAAGTCCAAAAGGGCCATAATTCGTGCGCAAAACCCAAAAGAAAATAATTAGAAAAAAAGGGAAAACAGAGCAATATCTACACACGTGTATGATGATGTCATTGCGTTAGAAAAATCTGTTATGGCACCTTTTGTTCTTATTCTAGGCACAAGATGAATTTTCTTCCAAACGTCAGCGAGAAGGGGGTTCAATTGTTCATGAAGTGGTCCACGTGGGCGCTCTCCCACTTCTTGGAGCTTGGAAACGTCATGCAGGACGCAGAGCAAGCGTGGAAATCCGTCGCCTTCATGTCATTCTCTGTGTGCTTCACCAACTTCAGACTGTTTCACCCGTCATTCTCTGTGCTCTGTTTTTCTCCTTGACTCCCTCCTTCTCCTTCTCCTTCTCCTTCTCTGTTTTGCTATCCACAACAGGACAATCTATCTCTCTCTCTCTCTCTCTCTCTCTCTCTCTGTGCCAAAATCTTGTTGGCTGGAGATACAGAGAGAGGGGGAGAGTACTGGTGATCAGAGCATGGCCAGATCAGAGGGCACAGTCTACAAGCTGTGCTTGGTGTGTTCCATGCTTGTGAATCTCTTCTTTGGGGTGAATCTTTATGTGGGTCGCCGTGGCGTGTGGGGTTGGAAGCGGGGCAACGATGAGGTGCGTGTCCAGGGGCTGAGCTGGAGCGGGAGAGCGGCGGCCGAGGCCGAGTTGGCGGCGGCGGAGGAGTGCTCGGGCCACGGGAGGGCGTTTCTTGACGGGATCATGGTCGACGGGCGGCCGGTCTGCGAGTGCAGCACTTGCTACGGCGGCCCGGACTGCTCCCTCTTCATGCCCTCTTGCTCTGCCAATGCCAACGGGTTAGTCTCTACGTCTCAATCAATCCCGAACAAGCAGTTTGACTAATTTCGTCCGGTCACGACGACGACCGCATCACTACCCCCTTAGGGGGGAAGAACGCTCTGACAAATCTTAATTATTTGTTGTTCTAAGTTGAACTCATGCCAATCATTTACTACAGGGCATGAAATCCTTTCTTTGCTTTTTTACGTTGTTAGAACATGCACAGAATTCACTGAATTGTTACTGTAATAAGGATAGCTTATAGTCTCATCCGGAATTAGATTCGACATAGAAGGTTTTCCTGAAAAATTCACTGAATCAGTATTACTATTGGCCCTTTGAAACACTCTCCGCCATTCGTGGAATGCCAATGTGATGGGCGAGGTATTTATTGATTCTTGTTCTTTCTGTTCTGGGAGAATACAATTCTGGCACGGGAACTCCACTATTTTCTCCATTTTTCAGGGGGTTAAAAGATCGGTGTTCTATATCCTATTATGGCTGCTGTGCTTCTTTAAGCGTGCACATACAGTACGAACATGTAACTTTTGATTGATATGTCTTGCGCAGATAGATGTTAAATGCGTACATGTAACTTTTCACCTCAGCTTATCATTCGAGTAGTGAAAATTGACATGTTTCACCTATAGTATCACCATCTTCGATACGATATTCGAGTTATAGGCCTTGAGCGCGATTCTTTGTTCCTTTTCGCGTTTCGCAAATACTCATGGATCAGTGGTGCAGCTGCACGTCTCCCTTATGGATCGGAACCGTTCTTCCACTCGGCACGTACTGGGGTTTCGTGTTTCAGGTTTTCGTGGTCCCGTCAGCCTATCATGCTTCGTGTATGCGAGCATTAACTCGTTAAATATAAACCACCTTGTGTTCGTAACTTTTTGAGGTTTTAGAACAAGGAGCAGCATTTTCCACTCTTTCGAAATTTCCTTAATTCAGTCCATAAATTGCATTTTGTTTTTGGGTTTCAGGGGAGATCCATTGTTCTTGGAGCCATTCTGGAAGCAGCATGCAGAGAGCAGTGCAGTAGTGGTGGCAGGGTGGCACAGGATGAGCTACTCCTTCAGTGACGAGACCACCTTGTCCAAAGAGCTTGAGTCTCTCCTCAGGAAGCTGCACTCCCAGGTTGGGAATGCCGTCACAGACGGCAAATACATTTTGTTTGGTGCTGGCTCTACCCAACTCCTCAATGCTGCTGTCCATGCTCTCTCTCCTCGCAACTCTTCACTTCCTGCTTCTGTTGTGGCCTCAATCCCCTACTATGCGGTTAGCATTCTTCCGTTAATGAGCTTGCCATGGACCCTGCGATTCATCCTGCTCCATCCTTATGCTCAATTTCGACGTAATTTCACCTTTCGGGTATGGTGTTTTTCTTCTTCTTCACAGCTTTATCAAATGCAAATAGAGTTTTTCGACTCGGCAGACTGTAGCTTCCAGGGAGACACGGCGCGATGGAAGAACGCAACCAACACCACCGGGGACATCATCGAGTTCGTGACTGCACCAAACAATCCCGATGGATTGTTGAACGAGGCCGTTCTCCATGGCCCTAATGTTAAAACTATTTACGACCGTGCTTATTACTGGCCACATTTCACCGGGATTCCTTCCCCGGCAGATGAGGACCTCACCATCTTCACTATCTCTAAGCTCACTGGTCATGCCGGTAGCAGATTCGGGTAAATTTGCCAAAACCCTCAACTTTTTCTCCAGATTTTGATGTTTCCTGCTATATATTCACGATTCAAATTATACTTTGATGTTGCTGATTTAGCTGACTGTATCATAGCTTTCAGTAAAATCTTCTAGCTTACCAGTGGAGATCATTTCTTTCATTGTTAACATTGGCTAAAACCAGATGGGCATTCATAAGGAATGAAGAGGTGTACGAAAGGATGGCGTGGTACCTGGAATTGAACACGATGGGCGTCTCGAGGGACACTCAGCTAAGAGCTCTGAAGCTTCTGAAAGTGATCGTCGAAGATGGAGGGAGGGAAATATTCGAGTTCGGATACAAAACGATGACCAAACGTTGGGACAGACTGAGGAAGACACTGTCCATGTCAACAAGATTCTCTCTCCAGAAAATCCCACCCGAAAACTGTACCTTTTTCCAGAAAGTCAGGGATCCAACTCCAGGTGAGAGCATCATACAACTAATAACAAAACGAAGAATCTGGTAATCCTAGAACTTATTTATAACGTGAGGAATGAATTCGATATGACGACAGATTGATATAAATACATGAGGATTTGTCAGCGTCATTTTTTTCGAAATATGCACTGACTTTCTACCAACAGGTGTCACACCGCTTTTGTCTGAAAAATAGCTTAGTAATGCCCTTTGCGATCATATTGACAAATATTTTGAAGAAAATCGTTCTTATGTTATGCATCAGCATAACTGTTAAACCACCAGCCTGGCTAATATCCATCACTTTACCCAAAATCCTAGGAATGTCGATAGAGTTCTCTCTTTTTTTTTCTGGCTATATTCTTTTCCCCAAGTTAACTCGAGCTTTTATGGCAGCTTATGCATGGGTGAAATGTGAGAGGGAGGAAGATAGGAACTGCGTTGAGATCCTAAGTGCAGCCAAAATCATCGGTAGAGGAGGGAGCGTGTTCCATGACGACGAGAGATATGTGAGGCTCAGCATCATTAGGAGCGACGACGATTTTGATGCATTGATAAGCCGTTTAGAGAGGCTAGTCTCCAGGGAAGATGGAGCCAAAACCATGTGATTGCGAAGAAAGAATGACAGTCAATCTTGCGTTGATTTGTGATTCTGGTTTTGGACAAAGTGATTAAATCACGGGATCTATATGTACATATCCCGTGTACTATAGCCATGGTCATGACTATTGACCTCTTTAAGAAAGAGTGATGTATAGGTCTTTAACTTACAGTGTGTTGCAGACATTTGGTTTATAGCAGACTATAATGCAAGACTGCATATATTTCTCTTTTGGTGAGAAGCCACTTTTAATTGTAGTCTTCTTATCAGAACAAATCATACGCTGCGCTTGATGATCCTCCTCCTCAATATGTATGGTTTACTCAAACTGTCATCGTCCTGAAGTTGTGCATCCACACTACACTCACTCTGCCCTTGTATGCACTCTGTAACTCTGATCTGTTCCCAGTTAATTGCTCGAGCAACTTTCTTTTTGGCCATAGATTGCTGAAACAACTTAACTATCCAACCTTTGCTCAAAAAGTATTATAAAGTTCAAAATGAATTAGAAACCATGAGTGCACAGCACAGCAGAAAGCTCTGAAGTCCAGACGATAACGTCCAGTGGTTGAAAGCTCCACAGTGCAACCCTAAACTGGAGAAGCATAGGAGTTTCATATCAGCATGGGATAAGAGAAGAAATCCATTTCGAACCCATGAATGCATGCGAAGCCCACACATGTCAATGGGGAGGAATTTTTCTACATGTTCACCTGTTTATGAATGACAAAATAATTCAAAAGAAACAGAGAGTGCCTCCCATAGTGCCAAGATCTGAATTGAAATAATACTCAAAACTGTGAACTTTTATTCATGTAAAATTCTGTAATGTACTGACTCTGAAGTCTGAATGTCCTAAATATAATTTAGCTTTAGCATTGCTCATTTGTCAGAAGACAATGTTACAATCAGGTGCCCTCTACAAATGGGATCTTTTCCCCTTCTTCTCCCTCCTCTCCTGTTTCTGCATTTCTTCATTCTTCATTATGTCTATGACAACCATCCGATTCAACCTTTTGCCGCACTCACTAACAGGATTGTCTCAGATGGTCTGATATATTTAGCTGCCGTAGAAAATACAGAGCTGCTGGATAAAATACAGAGAAAAATTTGCTTCTGATCAACTAACTCCAGAAGCCCTATACAACGACCGACTTTTTCAGTACTCCAGTTTGTCTATGCTTTAATACAGGCATTCTTCGCCTAAAGAGTATGCAGATAAATGCAAGGACAACAATAACTAAAAGAAAGTACACTCCCAAATGTGCATTCCAAATGAAGCCCATTAATTCAATACTGCTCTTGCCGCTGCAGCTACAATCACATATACTTTTTAACCGATTTTCCACTGGTGTAGCTACGGGATCCAGAATAAAATCCACGGTCATAGCTCCTTCTTCCAACCAGATGGTCGTGGTCTTCGGTTTGTACCCAGGCATAGATGCCACAACTGCAGTGAAGATAATTTAAGTCACAATGAGAAATTATTCTAATCAGAGCACTGACAAGATCATTGATACAACACCATTTGAGATGAAAGTTAGGGTATTATATGTATTATCCAACAAGCGTGTGATGTAGTCAAAAAATGCTTTCCGTTGTTGTTAAGAGTTCAATACTTACTAGTAAGATCGCTAGATACTCATAATAACACAACAGCAAATAATGAAGTACCTTCATATTTTGCTCCAGGGGCAAGCATCCTATGGTAATCAGCAAGTCCTCTACTAGCTTTAATCTGCTAAGTTAATTAAAAACACATAGCATCTTAAAAAGAAAGGAAAAATAAATGAAACTACCAATACAGTTATATAACCGTAATAGAGAGAATCAGCTATACTTCAAACAACCTATACGTAATTAAACCACAGAGATCACTACTAGATGGTATTCATGAATGAACAAGACAACAAACGGCTACTGCACGCAAACAAGTTGGACTAAAACAAATGCTGGAACATACAGTGCTATTTATTCCCTTGATCAGGACAAAGCCAGGCAATGGCCTTCCACTATCTGAAGAGTAGATTCTTCCATGAACTCCAGTCTGCAAGAAGTTTTAGGGAAAGAACGATTGCACAACTTTGCATAGCTAACAAGAAAAGCTTTGTATCACATGTAAAGTGGAATTTTTTGTCAGGGTTAGGGTTTTTTTTTCTACTTCTCGCTAAAGATTTTTCTGGAAATTTTACTATCTGCATAATATAAAAGAATGTGCAGACCACTTACCTTAATAACACTGGCAACAAGATTAAGCATGCTCATTTTGTTGTACTCCCATAGAGTGGGAAGCTGCAAATTTACACAAATAGAAAGCTCAAGTAAATTGATCACTTCCCGAATACAAGAATGATTAGATCAGCACATTCAAGTGATATGTCAAAGCCATATGAAATAAAAATATTAGTCAGTTTCAGCATCAAATTTGGCTCTCTTATTCTAACTTGGGAAGCAGCTAAGGATCGAAATACCAGAACCAGATCCATACTATTATTAGAATTTATCTGGATTGCACATGTTCTTACATCAATGTTTTAATTAACAAGATTTGGTAGATCATGTCCAACCATTTTCGGGAGAAACTATTTGGCTGAGTGAAGAAAATACAGCACAAAGACACCTCTGAAAATGTCAGATTAGTAAAGCATACAAATTGACTCTTTTGGGAGCATACCTCACTAGCATTTGGCCATTTATTGTCACTAATTTCCAATGTCAATTCGAAACAGCCACCATGGATATAGTTCCAGTCTTGCATGCCACCATATATTGGATACCTAGAGCAAGTTAAGCAATATAATTAAAGAAATTTTTTAATAGTCAAATGCCAGGTGACATACTAAAGTGCTCAAATGTAGAATGGAACTATTTCTCTTTCGCAAAGTCCAGCGGTTCACTTCACATAGGTATAAAATTAAAACACTCGAAAGATCAGCACTTCCTATACTACGAGCTACAATGTATTAACCTCAACACTGTCATACCAAGCTGCTCCATTCGTAATTCCTCCTTGAAATTCTTTACTCGAAGACATGTTACGGTGAGAGTGACTATATACACTTGCCATGAACCGAAAGGCTTCATCATCAGGGCTGGCAAAGTAATGTCTCCTGTAATTTAGGATTGTCAATAGTCATTGAGAATACAAGATAAGAAAGAAAAGCATAAAATGCTGCAGTAATTTTCGAAAAGTTATCAACAACAAATCAAGTAAGCTGATAAAAGATCACATGTAAACTTTGATTAACGTGCAGCACCTGTCCATCTTCTGCTGCCCCTCTAAAACTAAATGATTTCAACTTTTTCATTACAATAAAAGGATGACTTAACCTAACATAGGAGTAATACAGAAAAGGTTTGGGACACACGGCAAACTGGAGATCAGAACAGAACCTACATATTATCTGGAGATTTAACTCACAAGAATAGTGAAAGAAAGACTAATCGATGAAAAAGCAATAATGGCTAGTATATCTGGCAAAGAAGATGCATGCAGGACAACACAGATCACAGTGACAATAGGCACTGTACACAAAGCCGCGAACTCAAGCAAATTCCCAAGATAAGTGGCCCACGAATTCATAATATGATCCAGAATGTCAGACAATCACCTCTTGTCCTCTGTTCCATCCCACGGATAATTTGCAACCAGTGCACCCTGAGAAATCATAAGAGGATGCACATTGTTACATTCATTGTTCAAATAATTCTTCATATTTAAAATTTTAATAACATTACACGTGGGAGGGGAAGGGGGGGATAAACAATTGTTAGTCATGCATCAATAAACAAGTATAAATCATGCGTCGTCACCAAAGGCCCTCCCAGCATGACAGGATCTAGTACAAAAAAAGAAGAGCTAAATTTATTACCCCATGCAAGGAAGCAGATGCTGTGAAACGAATCTCTTTCAACCATCTCATAATTGCCCTTGTTTCTGGCTGTTGTGAACTTACGTCTCCATTCACTGGAAAGAACTGCCCTTTCAAGAAATACATAAAGCATAAGATAATTCAACAAAACCAAAAGTAAAGGGGAAATTGATCATAAAGCATGGAAGAAGAGAAGTCTTTTCTTTACTCATAATCTGCAAGAAGGAAATTACTTCGCTAACAATTGCAAAAATGCAAGAATAATATCTGAATACGCGACAAATCCTCAAAGGAAGAAAGCATACATGATAAGATCTTCTCCACTAGAAAAGATCAAGAGAAAAGGACAACAATTGTAAAATTTCACTGCGAGTCGTCAAATAGATCTTAAATCAATGCAAGCCACCAAAGGCAAAGTTGGATTCAATTGCAAGAACTGAATCATTGCAAGACCCAAAGACTTGTTCCATTATTGGGCTATAGATGAAGGAAGCAATTATTACCATTATTTGACAAGGAGAACAAGACATTAAAGAAACAATCATTAGACATGAGTCATGATATAAAAGCATGGCAAAATTTGATGAAAGAAAAGACACCTCTGAAAATGTCAGATCAGGAGTAATCATTCAGGAAAGGTGAAAAGAGCAATACCCGAGTATTTTAGGGAAAGCTCCAGACTTCTAATATTAAGCTTTTCGCTATATCCTCCAAGGGAAACTACTTTCCATCCTTCTTGTAAACACTTACTATCCTTTTTAAAATTCTAGGAACAAATTTTTATGATGATCCTAGAGTTCCCAATTTGTAAATTTTTTTCAGCTATCATCTTTCAGTTCTTAGTTCCATCTAACTAGATGGTTGAAACTTGAGTCAGAAAATATATGGTTAATTTTTCAGTCACAACATTCAAATGCACGTTATAATCACTCTTTTTACCATGAAAAGGGAGTCCACTTTATATAAGTAAACCTGGTCCATGGATAAAACTTGTTTCATGCAGATGAACTACACAGACAACTTTGTTCCTTAACACTATGGCCATGCATGGGGCTAGAGCACATTATAATCTTTAGAAACCTACAGATTGCAGCAGTAAAAAACTACCTGATCAGGAAAATCTCGATTTAAATCAATGTTATTGGCATTTCCGCGCCTTCTTAGTGTGAACCCATCTGGGTTCATTGCCGGAAGTAAATGAAGGTGAACATTCTCCACAATCTTTTTTGCCTGCAGACACCAGTATTGGGAGATAAAACATCAAGAATGCTTAATTATATCTACAACTGAATGCACAAGACTGTAATGAGGAGAATGCTACTTCATAAGATACATTACTAGACAAAAGATTCAAATCGCGC